CTTTATTTAGTAAAAAGCCCTACACTTTTCTCACGCTTTAGGCTGTATAGTTTCACGACATTAAACTTAGGGGGTAAATATTCTGGATACAAACCCTAATGTGGGAAAGACACCATAAGTTGCTGCCAACATCAAGGAAGCAAGGTTGTCATCATGTCATGTCATTTTGACATTTGCAATTTGACTAATGTAAACAATAAGATAAAGTTTTTATAATTTCATGCGGATGTAGCTAGTATGTAAATATATATGAAACTATATAATATCTACACAGTTATTATTGAAAATTTTTCTTGAGTATTCTTTTTAGCAATTATTCGTTATCAGCAGAGTAGATAATCTCGGGATAACATTCCTTCACCCGAGCTATGGAGATTAAATTACCCAACTATGAAGTAAAAGAAAATTTATTATAATAAATAACAAGAGAGAATATATCCAATCATTTTCATATTGGGAAATGCTTTCGTCCTACAGTTCATACTTAGCGTAGTTTTAAGAAGGAGTTGTTGCTTAACATGGACACAACTTAAAAGCCAGCAATGCATCTGTAGTTCGTCTGGTATTGGGGATATCTATGGCCTTCAATATCTCGGTGTTCCCTCGTTTGTATCCATATAAAAAAACATGATACTTTATAGTATGAAAATGTTGTACAAGATTTGTTTCTAACTTGCTAAGAGGAAGTGGCTTTTGTTATTAACTTCAGTGAAGAGTTTCAGCTTCAGACTTCTCGCCGCAACGTCTGCTTGGCTTAGCGTATAAAACTATTTATCATACGACTTTTAAACTATAATTTATAGCGCAATATTGACCACTAGCTGGTGACTTCGAAGAATGTACAGGAATTATAAAAATATTGAATAGATAAATTCAAAAAGACATTTTTACACAGAGAACAAAAGTGAGTGACGAAAGAAACGCAATGCGTATTTATAATTAAAAATGAAATAACAATACAAGATGGTGTCCGTGTCTCTTTGAAGTTTTTAATTGTAGCTTCTTAAGTACAAAAGAAAATTATTTATGGAAGAAACCTTATATACGACAAACACGAACATAATTTAAAATGTCGCATTCTTCCTTAAAAGGAAGGTCAACAGGTATAAAACGCCTAAAACATTTTCTATGTTTTGTCACAGTTCTGAGTATACAGTATGTTTTTAAATAAAACTTTAACAAGAGTACGAAGGAACAAATGACTATCATTACTCCTGTACTGTCTTTAAGCAGTAATCCTTGACCCTGCATTGTCTTACATCAAACAGAAGACGAGCTGAGCGCGGAAATAATACATTAATGTTTCAAACGGCACTGTACGTTAAACTCTTGAAAAGGCTTTCATCTCTTTGCATCCACGTAAATACTTCATTCACTTATACATAGTATGCACAAATTCAAAGGGAAACAGAAACTCGCATGCTTTTAAAAACATTTTTAACACAAAGATTAACGAGATTGATGTAATATAAACATTTAAATAGTGCAACAAAAACTAAAAATGCTTACTGGCTAACTATATTTTGAATTCCAAACGTTGTCTATTCCTAATAATCGTTTGTATTTACCGCGACCACAATTACTGTACAAACGCTCGCCGCTTGTCCTACAAAAAACTATTACTTATTCGGTTTCTACAGAAAAAAAAACTTTTCCGGTTTTAAAGTGTCAAGTTCACACTTCAACTGAAAACCACTGAAGTGTCGAGTAAATGCTGAGACTCTCAGACTCTTTACATCGAACAACTTAACATTTAAAACTTATGACCTGTCCCACCACCGACTGATAGAGGCTCAGATAGTTTAAAAATTACATCCTTAGATACGATAACAAAATCCGATAATTCCATGACAAATTTTAGATGTTGGATTGTTATCAGACAATTTACAAGAATTTGGTAGGACTGACTCTAAAACAATTACTACTTACAATAAGGAACCAAAGTTTTTTAAATAAACGAATTTCTTTCTTTCAAAGTCAAAAACCCACGATTAAAAATTAAATAGTTTAAACACTTCTTTTGTAATGAAATTCATAGTATTTCGAGTTTTACAAGGAAAGAAAATTATAATAAATGTTCAACAATTAAAACTTACCGAAAAATACAAGTTTAAAAAACAATTCCATTTATAAATCAATGTAGCCCAAACCGTTTTAATAGGTAACGAATACAAAAGAATTTCTGAAACCCGTTTGATGTTAATAATTGATACTTTTCCTCTTTTACCAATTAGGACTGTATAAATTCCTTTGGAGTAAAGTTTTATTAAACGTCTTAATAAGGTTACTTTATGAGCACTTGTTACGAAATTTATTTCGAAACGTTACCTCCATTTTGTTTTAGTCTATAATGTGAACTCTGTGTCAAAAATGTTTTAGCTTTAGGTTCATTGAAGAAAAGTCATAAACATCTTCCATTACATAACAGGAAGTGTCCTTTTTAGTCTTGATTATTTTTACATAGAAAATTATTTGATATCGAGATCATATTTCCCATATAAAGCATGCTTGAAAAGTGCTCTTGAAAAATCCTTTTCATATTACTATAATTAATTTCATTTTACATTATATTATAGAGAATTTGATAAATATTTAGAATATTGGGTTATGTGAATAATATTATGCGAATAAAGACCAAAGGCTTTCACTACGAAAATGTCAGCATGTACCGTGTGTAGACAAACAATGGCTGTTACGACCTGAATATATAGAACATTAAAATCTTTATTTAGATATGATAAAATTAAAGTAACGCTATAGTAAATTTATTTATTTCTGTTCATATTAAAATTTTATCTGCAGTATCATGTTTATAGAAACATTTTACATGCTTGAGTAAATATCGATATTGAGAAAATGAAATATAACATATGAATACCATATCTATTATCCACAAATCCGTACCCCACACGTACTAAAAAATTGCAGATAGCCTATGTGTTCTACCATACTATCCTCTACATCTAGGCCTTTCATCGAGATCCCTTCAGCAGTTTTAGCTACAAAATCTTAAAAAACATTCATATATCCATCAAAACTTTCGCATTTATAATATTAGTAAGTCAGTAATATTATAAAAAGTAAGATTAAACTACAGAACACTTAATAAAACATCATAAAACTTTTTAGCTCTTTAAAATAAAACTTTAGAATAAAGTTGTATAACCGGAAATAAGAGAAGGGAATAGACGACTCGGGACGCGAGCTATCTCGATGGGGCGCGGATTCCATAACGATTTTTTGATATCATCTGTTTTAGGAGAGAACGATAATTAAAATGCCATTACCAATGTCCGCAATCGCAACGGAAATTATTTTTTTTTTCATCTCGAGAACTTTATCGAAATTCCTTTCAACGAATTTCGGAATTTTATATTAATTTGGTATAATATTTTTTGTAATACCAAGATATCATGTCCGTGATTTTAATGTTATAAATTATACTTTTTTTTTTTAAATATGAAGGCTACATTAAACACACAACACGCTGCTACGCCAGTACCTAGATACCCGCTACGCCGCTACGCTGCTACTTCGCTAAGCTTTTTGCATTCGGTTTTAACACCACTTTATCTTTAGGATATACTCGCCCCCTCTTCTTTCTTTAAATTTAATTACATCACCTTATTTATTTAAATGGGTACAATGACAGGAAAATCACACTGTCTACTCCTAAATCACAACAATGCAAACATAAATACGTAATATTTCTATTTAAAGGAATCATATCCGGCGTCAGTAGGCGAGGGGTCCGTCTATCAATTCACTTAAAGAGGGTAATAGCTGTTAAAATCGCTGACAAAGGCACGCCGTCAGCATTGAATCTATCAAACCGAGTGAATTGCCCGGAATTACCATAACGCGGTCCGTCATACCTCCCGCATGATGCCCTCCCCTCTCGCTCTGCACGCCCCGTAACCATCCCATCAACCAGCAAACAAGATTTACATAAAAGCTGATATTGACCTATTGATTTTTATCGCATTTTCTTTGTTCTGCATATAATTTAAGTTGCGTGTGTTTTATATAATTTTACCGACTAAGAGAGACAGTGCTGTATTCAGTCTCTAAACCGCCATAAGGACAGTCCCACTTAGTGACAATTTAGTATGACAAGTTGACAAATCAAAGGCCGGCAATGCATCTGTAGTTCCTCTGGTGTTACGGATGTCCATGGGCGTCGTTGACCACCTCGGTGATCTCGCCGCTCGCTTGCCCCCTTTTTATTATAAAAAAATCATCACCAACGGACTGGCTAGACGACGAAAACGTACGTCTTTTAGGCAAAATATTACGAGCGAAGAAAATTTAATGTAAAGGTCTAAAATAGCTAAGTTTTCACATTATATATTTCGATGCAAAGTCAAAGTAAATAAAAGAAAGGTTAAACGGGACATTTATTATATTTTTAAAAATAAACCGCAAAATATTCAGCAAGACTTCTAAGCTTGATTGATTACTTCAAATGACACGGTATCATTATTAAAATTCTATTAATCATTTAAAATTGACTCGTACACAAAAGTCAAAGATATATCATGAATTGAAATGAGGTATGCGTAGGAAGTCGTTGTACGAACAGTGATGATTGATCGTTGAATAGATATCGCATAATCGTTGCCGTCCGAACTAATGGTTGTAGCTTGCAAGCGAATTGTTACAAAACGTTGAAAATTGAAGATAAATAGGGATTCATCTAGTTGAGCCTATTTAGTACAATACCTACAGTATTTTAACTTCCGGTATGTTTTAATATTCTTAATACATTGGTGTTTATTCCTTTGGTTCTAATTATCGTTGATAATACGTTTTTAGGAAATCTCGAAATTGAAAGCACATTTTGTTCCATACATTTATTAAACAGTATTTTTTTGTTACAGATTAACCATGTAAACTCAACTATAAACTGAAGTGAGGAATAGAACATAAATAATAGAAATGGCAGTCAGAATAAATTTTGACGATGAAATTATTAATAGAATACATTTATAAAAGCGGCCATGACTACACGAATACCTTACAATACAGCGTACAATAGTATAACGACTTATTCACATCCATCTAAAAGACCTCCGGATAATATGATAAGACAAGCAAACAATAATTACACAGCGACAGAGAAAACGAAAGCCGATTACGAAAAAGACATTGGAAATGTTACGCAAGATAAAGAGAATTTTATGATGCTAGTCGATGATTTCAGTGATTATTTCTATGGAAACGCTAGTCAGGATATATTTAGCGTTCACAACGGTTCCCTAGACATTCTAAATGATGTGTACGAGTACTCTAACTGCACGTTTAACGGGACGTTAAATGTTTCGTGTTTCAATCGTATGGATGTTACGCCTCAGCACAATTTCTGGGCCTTGTTACTGTTGATATTTCCTTTTTTTACTCTGTTCGGTAACGTGTTAGTGATATTAAGTGTAGTGCGAGAGAGGACACTGCAGACGGTGACCAACTACTTCATAGTGAGCCTGGCGGTGGCTGACCTGCTAGTGGCGGTTGTCGTTATGCCATTTGGAGTTTATTACTTGGTAAGTAGTAGATATAAGTTACATATACTCGTATACTAATTTTTTTTTACGTTTTTTTCTTAGAATTATTTTTTACTGAAAAAAGGTTTTTAAATGCGTAATGTTTAAATGTAAACGGTTAATTGAGCCACAATACGGCGTCGGATTGAGGTATTTTAACAGCGAATCAAGTATAATTATTGGCTTCGAGCTGCATTGAATAATCTCTAGCCACCGACACGATGGGACAATCCACAAATTCAATTGTATTGTGGTTACATCGATTTGCAAATGACCAGGACTAACATTATCTGAAAGAAATAACACCTTTTTATTTGAATATTTGTTACTATTAAGATATACAATTTTGACGAATAAAATTTAGACCAATTTTCTTTAAAACATATTACTTAATTTTAATGAGTCGTACAAAGTGTAATGGAATTTCATATTATAAAAGAAACGAAATTAAATTTTCCTTAAGACCAAGCGCTGAGCTTTTCTAATCCAGACATTGATGTGGGGACGTAATCATCTCGCAAGTCGGATTAACTGTTCAGCTAAATATGAAATAATATTAGCAATAAAAATTCCACACTCCCGTGTATTCCTAGCTGAATATAGTACTGACTGTACTGGCCTCCTAAGAAATTTTGTCATAAAACTTTTATGTCCCACGTGAAATTCGGCTGCTCGTAAAATATTTGTAATAAAATTATTTCATGTTCAACAATAGGCGTTAGAACGATTTCCTTTCAGGAATTTCAGTAAATCAAAAAATACCATTTACAAAACATTCATTTTATCTATTATTTTTTACGTAAATTATATCAAAACTAAAGCCTATTAGTAATAGATAATTGGTCTCTTAAATAAATAATTCATCCTAATCTAAAAAACAATCAACGAAATTATAATGTGTACCTACTAAATTGCATTCACATACAATATTAAAATCTAAATTATATTTATGTACCAAACATTGGCGATCTCTGAATAACAATTTCACACAAGAGCAGGACACACCGAATGCAACAACGTTTTGAAATTAAGTGTACAAGCAATAGCAGTACTGTAACGTACGCTGTTCTGTCACACAGTTGTGCCCTCGTGCGAACATTAATGTTATTCCAGTCACGTATGTATTGATTGCATTCGCAGAGCATATCGGTTGCTGAGAATGCGGTGTGGACTATCGTCTCAGAGCACGCAGCAACTCCGTTTTAAACTTAAATTACCTACTTGCGACTGTGAAAATGTACGTATACGTGATCTAACTTCTGAACAACATTTATGTAAGGCAAGGGAAGTAAATCAGTTAGGATTTCTTAATAATTATCATAATATTTACGTATTTATTCTTATGATAATGTTGCTATTAACAATAAATTTACTATCAATATAAGTCCGAAATTAACCTCTAAAAACTACTAAAATAATACAGCTACTATTCATAAGACAACATATAAAATTTCGACCTCACCCTGAGGCCCACGAGCTGTGTTTTTACATCGTTAATGAATAAATCTCGCTGAACGTTCCACTTGTTTTATTAACAAAATTGATTTATGGACATTATTAAAGCGTAATTGAAGTAAAACAAATGAAGATAATAAATTCACATTTGCGGCAGAACTAAGCTCTCGCGTATATTCAAATACTAATCTATATTAAACAGAAAGATATATCGCATTCGTTATTAATTTCAAAATTAAAACAGTGGTAGTGCCCGCTTTAACATCTTCGCACGAAAGGGCCGGCTCGCCCGGTGTAATACCACGACCACACAGAAAACGGGCGTGAAGTGGGGTAATTCCGCGATTCGTCTGATGAGTGTGGTGCCGGAGGCCTAATTTTAGTCCCTTTTCATTTCCATCCTTTTCTTAAGAGGAAAGGATGCAAAAGAAAAGTGGAAAGGCAACGCATCTGCAATTGCGGATGTGAATGGGCAGCGCCCGCTTTTCATTTCGGTGGATTCC